ATTAAAAGACTTTTTTCCCCCAGATCTCCAGAAACTCTCAAAATTTGAGCGTGAAGAGCAGAGAGGAACTACTACACCAGTGGTGGCTAACCCTTTTCGGCTCCCATGCCGAAAATTACGTGTGCACTTCTGCGCACATATTCACATGCCAGGACCCAGAAGGCAATGCGTGCTGGGGCCCCCCCACACCCCTGCGCATGCACACATATCCCTCCCACATGCACCATGCATCTCTGCACATGCACGCGAAAGCACCATGTGACATGCATCTTTGCGCATGTATGCATGATCCCTGCGCATACCGTACATCTCTGTGCTTGCGTGTGCATCTTCCATGCACCCGTGCCCCTCCCACATGCATGCCAGATACCTAACAATCAGCTGTCGGGCAGCAGCGGATATGCACATGCGCAGTGGAGCTCTTCTGGGCGACCTCTCATGTGCTGGCAGAAGTGGCTTTGTGTGCCACTTCCGGCACGTGTGCCATAGGTTCGCCATCATGGTACTATACCAATCTAATAAGTAAATCTGGTGGCGATTCTCCACCTGACTGCTCTTGTGATGACTCTCTCAGAAGTTGGATGAATGATATTCCCATGACCAAGGAACATTCCTGGGATTAGTTAATTTATGAGGCACATTCCTTTCTGTATTTGTCATCATAGCACAGAAGCAGCTTACTATATAAGACAACATTTCAACATTTGGAAAGTCACTTCAAATTCTTCTTTCTTGTCTCCTCAGCTTTGAAGTTCCAGTTAGAGGGTGGTGTTTTTGGTTGTTGTTTCCACCCTATAAAAACAATTAAGGTTTTCAGAGAAAAATGTATTGCATTCATAATTCATGCAGATGATAACTAGGAAGCAAGGATAAACTGTAAAACGTTCCATTTGCTGAATGACTTTGAAAATATGTGATGATTTTTTTGAAAAAAAAAATATTTTACAGGGTTCTGTAAAATGGATTAAATCCACCCACAGAATAAAAATAACTTGAAATTCTTCAATGCCTCCCAAGTTTTGTAAATGGCTGGAAGACACTTTGAGATTTTGGGGTAATTGCAGAAGAAATGCTCTTTTTAAAAATAGAAGTGTGCTGATCCAATTATATATGCAATCTTCTGTATGTTTTCATCTATGAACCAGTAAGTATATAATTTTTACTAATGATATAGAACTGTCAAGCAAAATGCCAAGGGAAAATTCAGACTAGAAATCAGTGTTAAAAAGCAGATTTTGAATAAAAAAACCTCTTTTATTGCCTATCCATGCCCCAAAAGAATATTTTTATGTTTATAAATTAGGTTCTCTATTCATACAAACACAGTTCTTTGATAACTTGGCCAAGAATAGCAAAATCAACCTATTTGGAAATGAGTATTGAAAATAATGAATGCAAACAAAGAATGCTTTTAACAGAAGACAAAGAAGCTTTAATTGGTATAATAAGCTTCTAAATCTGAAAGAGAATGTTGGCTGAGGATAATGGAGCAAAATTAGTTATTATAGAACATGTGTTCTTGTTCTTTGTGATCAAATTCACAGGCCATCAAATCTCTAGTGACAATCATAGATGGATAAATGATATCTTAGTGTTTACCACTAGCAACAATGACCTGTCTCCATTCTTCATTCTACAATTAAAATAAGAAAAGTTTGGCATCGTCAGTACATTTTTATATGGATTAGCTGTGAGCTCTGTACTTAAAACAATTCCTGGCCTCAATATTATTTAAGGCTAAGCTTGTTTTGCACCAAACTACCGTTCTTAAGTCTAGATTTCTAATTATAATAAAAGCACATCTTACAAACCCATTTATCTATAGCTAAAAATTTCCTTTTGTCACCAAAACTGTCTAACATCTCAGAAAAAGATTATCCCTAGTGCCCACGAGCCAACATTCCAGAAATGTCATTAATGCTAAAATAGACAGAACCAGAGAGGGCTTGATGGTTGCCAGTATCTACCCTGGTCCATTACTGACCTGGCTTAGTCCTCCTGAATAAAGGAGATCTCATGCTTCTGCTAGATGATTGCAGCACCTGTGCTTGGACATGCCAGGTTGGTATTTAGGTGCTACACCTCTAAACTTTGCAAGATCACCAGGTATTTTCCCCAAGCAAAGAAGATAATCTTTTTAAATGTTTGTTTCCCAATCCAGTCTCTTAGATATCTTAGATACAGTAGGGTAAGAGAAACACTCTTCCTTTTGATGAAGAAAGGGTTTTGTCTACTTTTTATTCTATGCGAGGTGGCACTTTACAAACTGTAGTATTATGTTCTCTCCAAGTCACAATAGTTTCAGCTCATTTCAACCATCATATAAGATATATTTTTGCATTCTAGCATTGTAGAACTTCCATCATATCTTTGGTTCCCTCAGCTAGTAAAACAAGCACAGCTGGTTTTTGCTTTATCTAGAATTAATCAGGGCAAAACTAAATGTAACTTGATGTTCTCAATCTGCTGACTCAGTGATGGCTTCCTTGTATGTTCTACATTTTTAAATCAGAGTTCTGAATGTAAGTTCTATTTTAATTTCAGTTTTAATTATCGTATTAGCCTCTTCAAGTGCCCTTTAAGTGTTAAAAAACGGGACAGAAATAAGCAAAACAATATGCTAAAAGATCTCTCACAGTTTACTTTCATTAAAAAGAGACAATCTGGGTCAGAAGAACCATGCTATCAGGGGACAGGCTTTTTATGTTTTCTTCCAAGTCATCTTTCCCCACTTGAAATTATCTTCTTGAAGCTGCTATTAACATGCAGTCACCCGAGGGATGTACATGTGTGATAGCAACCCAGAATAGCCACGTGAAAGGCGTATCTGCTCCTCTCTCCAAATACTGTGATCCCATCTTGAATGCAGCTGCTACTTTTAAATAACAGCAATAACAGTACATGCCACTTCTGGTTAGTGCCCTTAAAAGACTTACTTCTTATCTAGAAAAGCTGCTGTGTGAGCTGTAACAGCCTGGCTAACATTGGATTGTATTAGTGGCCTTAAGAGAGAAGTGAAGTGGCCAGCTGAGGTTATGAAGAAGTTGGAAAGGGAATTTATAATGAAAAGGAGACTGGATGAGAGAAAGTTGGCTAGTGCATAAAAGCTCTTGACTGATAGTGTTTGCCTTTTGCTTTTCCTTATGATGCTGCTGTTCTGCAATCTTTCTTGTCTTTCAAAGCATGATGGATCTAAGCAAGTCCAACTTCTTGTCAACACTCACCCTATGGAGCTTGTGCTGGCTCTTTGCCTCCCTGGCACATGTAAATCCATTGGTATCTGAATTGTGGGGGAGTTGCAATTTTTAATGGGCTGGAAATTATTGTGACTAAAATCTTGTGAACTGAATTTCCCAGCAGTTACAACTAAAAAACCACCTCCATTTCCTAACCTCATTTCTTCCACTTCAACATTATTTCATCAGTTAATTTTCTTTCTCCATTTATTTTGTTCTTTCATGTCGTTGATACGTATAAACTTAAGAGTTTAAGAGCCTAAGTGCATTGCTCTATTTCTACAATGTTTTCAAAAATTGGGATTGGAAATAACAGTTTGGATCCAGTACTGGATTTTTCTAAACCTTTGAGAGAAAAATTATCTGGAACATACGCAGATAGGCTGCCTTAAAATCCAAAAAGGATTTTAAGGAAACCAAATTTAATAGATTTTAATCATGGATATTGGATAATCACCAGTCTGGTGCTTCCAGATATGTTGTGACTATACCCTTATTCCACCCCTCCCCAAGTTGTTTGGAAAATGAAGGATGATGCACATCAAAAGAAAGAAAATGTTTGTGACTATGGGGTAATGGTGGATAAATGGTTATTCTTTGATTTAAGAAACAGAGATGAGTATCACCTCATGACTAGCAGGCTAAAATCTGTGGAACACCTTTGCCCCAACAGAGGCCCCTAAAGGAATATAGAAAGGGAACAATTAATTGAGATAACTGGAACAAATTTGTAGCTATTGGGGTGCTTTCTGCCACAGACCTTCTATTCGTGTGGATCAGATGTAGTGGATTGCTTTCCATGAGGCCACTTAAGAGAAACCAATTGCATAGTCCCTCTTTTGCAGATCTAGAAGCAACATAAAGGAGGAAATGCAACATAATATAGATTGAACCTAATGTCTACACACAGACATCTCTTTCTCTGCATATTGAAGGCATGAGTTTAATGCAACCTAACTTTATGATTGTAGGAACAGCATTTTATAACTTCTTGAGGAAGATTGATTATTTGGAAGATTAGTAGTCTGTAAAAAAATATTGCCTAAAACCTCTTCTCCCCTCACCCCAATAATAGAACCTGAAGAAATCCTGTCTCATACATCTTGTCATCCTCTTTCTCATATTTTACGAATTCCAATCTCATTTCTTCCATTTGTTCACCTTCTATTTCAAGTTCTTAGCTTGAACCAATTTCTTTCCCTTTTTTGTATCATTTTTCCCTATTGTATTTCTTTTTCCACCCTTGATAAAGTTGCTGTTTGTATAAATAGAAGTTTGCCCATACAAGCCACAAGCAAAGTAAATATCTCTAACTTGTGTTCTTTGTTCTCTACACAATAAGGAATAATCTCCACTATGTTGTGTATATTGTTATGCGAGTATATGTTTTTCTGGGGCCATTTATACCAGTATATAAATGGTAATCAAAACACTTCTTGATGTAAGTCTGAGATGCTTAAAAAAAATTTATTTTTCATTTGAAATAACTATATCACATGCTTTTTTTAATGTTTAAAATAAACCTCTGAAGATACAGTAATGACAATTTAAGATGGAAATGATATGCCTTATATTTGCTATCAACCTTGAAAATGAATGGTTAGGAATGATTAAAGTCTAGAACAGGAATATTTAATTTTCTCCTGTAAAAATCTTATCTCAACAAAAAATTTCCTGGACCTAGTTAGATTCCAAACAGTTAAAAGATTATAATTTGGAAGAACCATTTTGCTTGATTTTATCCTAACCAAACCATGTATTTTTCTGGTATAAATGCAGTGCTGTTATCTTCCAGCAGAGTACATATTTCCTAAACCATTCATTTGTTGGAACATATTGAATGAAATCATCCTGTGTATCAAATATCCATTTGTTCATCAGGACTGCTTTAAAGAAAGAAAGGGAGAGGAGAGGGCAATCATTTTTACAATTATAGATGCTCAATTGGCAAAAAACTGGAACCCATTTTAATGCTAACAAAATTTTATTTTGGAGCCAGAGCAAAATTACACTCAGTGCCAAGATAAAAAAAAAGTGCTATTGATTTTAAAGAGTGACAAAAATAAATGAAAGGTACTTTGGGGTTTCTAGAACATTTCAGTTATACAAAACACAAAAGGAAAAGGTTACCAGGTCTTGAAAATTCTACTGCCAAGACGTATATTGCTTGAAATAATGGACTGTGAACAATTCTTATCTTTACCAAGACTAAAGTGTTTTTTTTTTTAAAGAATCAATTGCTAACCATTCAATTCAGCTTGACAGAGATGATGGAATTGTCTGGAGGTCATCAGGCTAAGGACGTCTGCTTTTACTGAAAGAGGTCACTGGCAATATACAATTGTCAAGGGTTCATTCTGCCTATTTCAGTGCTTTGGTTTGGTAGCTGTTGGTCATACTGTGGAAGGAAAACCTTGCAATGGCTACCATGAACTCTTCCTTCCACCCCACTTCCCTGGATCTTTAAGGCAGCCTGAAGAGCATTGAACCACACCTGGATTCCAATTAAAAAATGAAAATGCTGAGAGGGTGGGTGTGCATAGAGGGTGATTTGTGATGTGCGGGAGAGCAGAAAGGAAGAATTTGAAGCTGTCAGCTCAAGAGGCAACTGATGGTAAAGGAGGAGCAGATTTGGACTTCATCAGACCAACAAGCTGAAAGGAGAAGAGACCAGCAGCTTTGCCCCTCCAGCAGCAGTGCTGAGAAGCTATAACCAGCCAGCAGCTGGTAAAGCACCTTCCTTTTCTTACCCCAGCACAGAATGGGTTAAGGGAATGCCTCATGGTAAATGTAGTTAATGCATCATGGGAAATGTAGTTCATGTCATGTGGTCACATCTGTAATCTTGATTGGTCACTGAACTGACCCTTGGTTGGGTTGGGGGAGTTTCCTTTACTCTTGCTTCGACCCCAGCTCTGTGTTGGTGTTTCACCCTTTGCTCCTTCATTATGGGATGAAGATCACTATAACTTCACACTATGAAGTCAGCTGTGGAAAGAATTGGACATTGGATGAATCTCGACATAACCGTGAGTTATACTTCAAGGATGCCTTGTGACCCAATAAAGAAACTTTGTATGGAAGCCTTTGTAGAGTTTGTCTGTCTGTCTTTATATTCAGCCAGTAATTAAAAGACAGAACAGAGAAACTGCCACATCAATTATTACACAGCCAGCTAGAACAAGTGTTGACAGCAATAAAAGCCAATCTGAAGATGGTTAAAGACCTTGGTTTAAACTCAAGTAATGCATAATGTTTAAGAGTAATAAACAGACATAGACGTTAGTATAACTAGATAGTATAAGACAGCATAGACCTAGTAATGAGTGGTAAAGTAGATAAGATAGATTTTTTTTAACATATACCAGGAAGATGTTGCTGGTCTGTTCTGTTTCCCCAAAATACCTTCTTACCAATACCATAATGAAGCAGGAGAAAGTTTCTCAGTTTGTCCTTCCATTGCATTTGTTTACCTGCTAAATATTTGTGTCATACACCTGACAAAGAACGACAGGGGTGTAGTTTGTAATTTAAAAATTTGTCCCCTCCCCCAAGCTTACTGATTGCTTATGTTCTTTAGATAAACAGGGGGTTATCTGGTAGTATTTTCCTAGCAGAGAGATTTTTGAAAGTGGATAATATTGACTTTTTGATTCACACAAGATCAGTTTGTAGCACTGTAGGGAATCTATGAACGGCAGGGCAGGAGGTTAACAAAGCCGGATATATGGGCAGAAACATGAATGTTTGCATTATCTCATGTAGTAACTCTGTTTTGTGAGGTAGGATCAGAGATGCTATTCAGCAGGTTCTGACCAGTTCTGGAGAACTGGTAGCAGAAATTTTGAGCAGTTCGGAGAACCGGCAAACACCACCTCTGACTGGAGATTTTACAGTATCCTTCCCCTGCCACGCCCACCAAGCCATGCCCACAGAAAGGGTAGTAAAAAAATTTGAATCCCACCACTGGGTAGGATGATATGAATTTCCCCCTATCTTTTCATTTGGGCTTGTTTGAAATGAAAAGGAAGTTATTATTTGGAATTCTCCTGAATATTCTCAAGGAAATAATTAAGTATCTTTGGACGTAAGGAAGAGGCAAAACTAACTGAAGCTTCATTTGCAATACTAATTATCCTGACCTCCTTGCTGGAACACACTGGATTCACAAGATTCATTGAACCACAAATTAACTGACTCCACTTAGGGCAGTATGGTGTGGACCAAGTTTTATGAGCCCAGAGAATGGGCTTAATAGTAAAAAAAAAACCCATGGTTCATTTAACTATGTAATATGAATGCAGCAAAGAGAATCCTTGCTTTTTCTTCACCTGAAATTTCACAGCTTCTTATCTACCCCGTCTTTGCCCATTGGTTCAATGTGTCCCTCCTCACATTCTTCCTAAAAGACTGATCTGCAAAGCAAGGAGAAGCAGCATTGGCAAACTTGGCTGAGGAAAGGCAAATCTGGGAGGGGAGAGAAAAATGTATAATATATAAACATGAATAAACAACAGACCGAGACTCAATGATTCTGGAGAACCAGGCTCTTTTTAAAATTGTGTTTTTACTTTTGTATTCTCAAAAAAAGAGAAAAGAACACAGAATGGAAAGCAGTAGGAGAAATGGAAACAAGCTGTTTCACAGAGAAAATGGTGTGAATGTGTATATGTGCGCACACATGCATAATTTTACTGAAAAGGGCAGGCATTGAACTAATCAGGAGCAGAGAGTTAGCAGCAGAAATTGGAAGTGTTGTGCATACATTATTTTTTTGCACTTTGTGATGCCTCCTTTGAAATTGGCAGTGCTTTCAACATATACAGCCAAAAGTGCCATTTCTGCCAGGCAACAGAGTCAGTAATTTGAAGTCTTTCTTTTTCCCCTTCCAAGCTCCATCTGTAAGATTACCAGCTTCATATCCAAAGTAACCTTCTGTCCCTTGAAAGTTCTCTAAAATTTGACTGATGAAGCAGAAGCTCCTGCCCCCGTGGTGCACGAAAAACCACGTGTCTTGATACAGAAGACAAGGCCATCCAGAAAAGAAAAAAAAAGACCGTACACAATGCTGTGGAATTGCAGAATTTGTCAGAAAGTCCTGCTGATTTCTTCCTGCTTTCCCTGAACTCCAAGAAGACCTTTGTGCTGCCATACTGTAAGAGCTCCTTGGTTTTATGCAAGCTGCGTGTTCAGCAGGGACAGGAAATATGATGAGACTTTGTTAGGAATGATGTGATAAGTTAGCTGCGCTTCTGGGTAGAAGCTCCCACAGAAAAGCCCTGTCTTCCCTGCATTTAGCATTTGGGCTAATCCAGCAATGGCACCGGGCGCCTGGATTCCCATGAAGTTGTTCTCTCACTGCTGAACCGGTTTCCTTTCAACTCAACTGCATTGCAGCTCAAATGGCATGTTTTTCCTCTGAAGTTATTTTATTTGGGATATCGAGGTTTCGATGGACCATTTTCCATTGGTGGCAATTCTTATCAATCCCTGGGCTGAATCTGGTTCCAGAGGCTTCAAAGTTTTTTTAATCCATCTGATCAGTTTCTAAATCAGTTTCCCAATCCCTCTAAAACTATTTGCTGACTGATTTCCCCCTCTTATTCCACCTACCTCCTAAGCTCGGGTGAAGCAAGATTTCCTTCTCCCCATTCCAGGCACATGGGAATTCTGTACTGCAGCCCATAATTATAGTTGCCACTCGGGGGAAATCTGTGCCAAGCTATCCTCACATCCTTCAATGGGAATTCTCAGGCAGGAACAATGATATCTGAAAAGTTCAGGTAATCTCATAGCTCAGATTTTTTTGGGGGGAGGGGAAGAAGTCTATACTGAAAACACTGGGGAAGGAATATTTTACTTTCTGTTCAGAATGAGGAAATGGGGTGGGGGCAAGGACATTTTTGTTATATTAAGAGATACTATTGCACGTAGAAAGAAGCACTTTCTCACTGTCAGTTTTCTGTCCTCTCCTCTCAGCCAGCTGATGGGGATATGGATCGGTTCAAGGGGATCCCTGCCTGTTCTCTGAACTTTCAGATTGGCAGACTAAGACAATTACACAGCTGGCTTCAAGATATTTTGAAGGGTTTGGTGTATATGAATATGCCATTTGTTCACATTCAAATTAACTGTAAGTCCAAGGCTGTCAATAATCTGAAAAGCAGTCCTTGAGAAATGTAGTGAAGCTACTTGAAAGAAGAAGAAATGAAAAAAATCAATGGGACCAGCTTTCCTTCTCTGATACCCTTTTAGGGTATGACATAGGCTCCTATGTCAGCTTTACCCAACCTGGATATGTTGTATCACAACAGCCATTCTTCCCAGCCATCGGCAGGCCTAGATGAGGATAATGAGAGCTGAAATCTAACACAGCACCAGAGTTTGGGAGGAATGGTCTAAGTCTCCCCAAATAATAGCTGGTTCAAGTCTGTTGGGGAAGATGGCAAGAAGTTTCACTGATGGAAATGACCACATCTTGGGGCTGGTACTCCTGGTTGATCTGTGACCCTTGAAGCTCACCCATCTCATTCATGTTATTGCTGATGCAGTTCATGTCACTCTTGTTACTGTTGTCATCAGAGTTGGGACCAAACATCCAGTCTGCAAGCAGAACAACAACAAAAATACCCAAGATTAATTAGTATTACAAAGACAGGAGAACAAGAACTGGAGGATAATCTGATCACATCTTCATCCCATGCATTGAAGCTGGGAATTCATCTCCAGGGTGGGATTGCAAGGACATTTGTTATTGCTAGAGAAATAGATTTTCATCAGTAGATGGTGGTATTTTCTATACTCAGGGAGGCAGAGAGATTGGAAGGTGGGAGGAAACCCACAAACTCTATCTGTTGAGGTAATATGCTATTTCTCCCCTTGTCTTCCTTGAGAAAGTTTTTACTTTTTAATCTTCATACTTACATCCTTACAATAATATTGTAGGATAGTGTGTATAATTGGCTTATGACTTGCAGACCTAGTTTGTACATTACACTAAACCAGGGGTCCCCAATCCCTGGGCCATGGCTCCTACTGGGCCTTGAGCTGTTCAGAACTGGGCTGCGGAAGTGACAGGCAAGGGCACACATACGCACATCCCCACATGTGTGAGCAGTGGGTGAGCATGTGCACTCCATTTGTATGAGTGGTGGACATGCATGCCTGCCGCTGGTGCAAATGGAGCTGCCATGCACACATGTGCTTGTCTGCCGCTTGTGTGGAACCATCGCCTTTCCCCCACCACCACACCCCCGCCAGTCCACAATGCCAGAAACATTGGGGAACTCTGCACTAAACCATTTGCAGAACATGATTTATGGTTTAGCAATAAATGTATGAACAATTTTATCAGAAAATGATGGCTCAGTGTGATGATCCTGTGTATTTATCTCTCATTCAGGTGTAGCATTCTTTCCACATTAACTATATTTCAATCTCAATATATTTCTCATAACCCATTGTTTCCAATTATCCAAATCTACATTACGTTACATGTTAGGGCTGTAATGTTGCTTTTGATTTTGCCCTTTAGATCATAGCTGTGGTGAGTTGTTTTCCATGGATGGCTTTAGTATTGGCAGTGATATTTTCTTCAAAAATTAGGTAAAGTTATATCGAACAGATTTCAATTTTCCTGAATAACATGAAAATATGAAAACTTTATGAATATAAAGCACACGGACCAAGGCTCTTTATTAATTTTGCATTTTCATTTGAAAGATGTGGTTTCTAGATCCCAACCCTTGTTTGTTCCACACACAGACTTAAATTCTGGAAGGTCTATTTTTAAAATAAATGACAATAATATAATGCCTGGTATAAGTCACAAAGAGAGCCACTTTAGTGTAGTGGTTAAGGCATCAGGCTAGAATCAAGACTGTGTATTCTAGTCCTTCCTTAGGTGCAAATCTAGTTGGGTGCTCTTGGGCCAGTCACTTTCTCTCAACCCTAGGAAGGAATCAATGGCAAACCACTTCTGAAAAATCTTGCCAAGAAAACTGCAGATATTTGTCCAGGCAGCCTCTGAAAATCGGACATGATTGAACAAAAAAAAAAAAAATCACAAAATTATAGATTTAGAAGAAGAAATTATGACAATGTACTTACCACCACTCTGGCTAACTTCTTCTAGGAATATAACTGAAGTCTACTTCCTTAACCATGTTTTGTTGAATAACTCCAAATTAAGATGAACTGAGCAACGCAGAGCAAAGATTTGTAAATCCCTACTGGTTTTGTTACACCACTCTCTGATCAGTTCTAATCCCAAGGAAACTGATTTGAGTGCTGCCATCTTGAAGGGATTATTATATAGTAACTTCCAACGGACACTGTAGAAGATCTTTAAAAAAAACCCAGATAAATCTGCCCTGGTATAATTTTTGTGTCTGGGTACCCTTTGTTTCATTCTCTTTATAGGCAGGCACACAGCTTCCTTAAACTTGCCTTGCAATGAGGCATTAGAATCTTATCCCTAATTAAACATCCCTAGGTATTTTGACTCCCTAGATTCTTAAGCACCTTCCATCACACAATATTAATTCAGCCTGTTAGCCTTGAGATACCTCTCAGTTTTTGGAGGAAATTAAAACACACTCATCGGCTTTAGAAGGGAAGCATGTGGAATGCAATTTAAATCAGACTGTTACTTCCTGAGGGAAATATAAACCAAATTAAGCCTATGACTAGGTACTTGCCATTCTAGCTATTCTTTAGCTAGAATGGCAGGATTGACAGTGCTGGAATGCAACATCTTGCTGTTTCTGTAACCAATTGCAGACTGAAAATGTGTCCAGTGACCTACATCAACTTTGATTCTGTTTAATTGGCATACAGCTGCTGTCTGTGGGGTTGTCCCAACTATGGAAGCTAAAGATACACTTTCCCTTGTGCTAAATACACTTACCTTGTAGATATACAATAGAAATGTAATGTATTCTGTCCAGAGTGGTTTTGCATGAGATGGTCAACCATATAAATTTGACAAATCAATCAGTCAATCTCCCCATATTGTGGGCTTTGCTAAGGTCATTTATATGCCTTGCCAAGCCTATTATTCAGAGACTAATACTTGAAAGGCAAGTTCAAAAGCTTTTTAAATCAGTTTTTATGGTTGCTTATCTTTAAACCAGACTTGAATTAAACAAACGTTACAGCCTTACGTGTTGCAGGGTGCATGTTTACCTAGTAACTGTTGCATTTTGAAGACACACTATGGAGTCGGCAACAGGTGATTGATTCATTTGTCAAATGACATTTTCTCTGTTCCTAATGGACACAAATGAGATTCTTCTCATCTCTCCTATGCTGGTCTATTGCTGCAATAAGGAGTCTAATAAAGATATGCTCCTCATTATCATCAATTGTCCTGATTTAGACGCAGTTGTTGGTGAACATTATAGTAAGGAGATACTGCAATAGTTCCTGAAAAACCTGTGTCAATATTGAAAGGTTTCAGCTGCACCAGTGGCCAAAGGGTGTTTTCTCTGTTGAACTTAATTTTATGTGGCAAAGAGCAAACAGGACATTTATCTACATGCGTGGTAAAACTTGATTTTGCCAAGGAACAAGCAATCTCTAGCAAGACCCTTCAGGATAATGCATATGAGAAGCAAGCACAGGCCATCAATCAAAGGCTGATAGCCGAATAGACTCAGTACACCTTGAAGCCTAGCTTTCCTCTCTTACATGATTTCAGGCAATTCGGTTCTGAATTTTGTATTATGCCAAAATCATCCATTAGCAAGGGCTACCCATTAGTCAAGGTAAACAAGGTATATAATACCGAGTATATTATGGATAAGCCTCACTGAAACCACTTTGCATCGGGTGATGGTGGTTGATAGATTTAGTCACAGAGCACTAATTACATGATTTTCAACTGAAAATCGATTAAGAGGATATAAATGAGGGCACAAAGGAAACAGCTGGATCTGAAGAAATATGGCCCTTAGAGATACATTTTTTCCCAAATTACTATGTGCTCTCAGGAATTCACATCCTCATTATACATCTTTAATTGCTCTGGCAGCTGGCTAATTGCACAAATTATTAGCAAGCCAAATACCTTTCCTTTCCAGGGAAAGTAAAATATAGAAAGTAAGGTGACAAACCTTCACCTCTGATGGCAGCACTAGCTCTCCCCTTTCCAAGACATCTGCAATGGCAAAGTTTTGGAGGAAAAGCCCAATTTAATGGATATAAAAAAAATATATTAAATTTATTCACAGTGTCAGATATCCTAGTAGCAGAACTTATTAGGAAAAAATTATAAGAAGGTTTTAAAAACTGTGGGACAGGTTTTTATTTTAAAAGGCATCACACTGAAAAAACAACAACAGGATAACAACAATGAAAGCACCCTCTTTTGATAATGTTTCTGATAGGTTAGCTAACTATAAAAAGCTACTAGGACAACTTCAAAAGGTACAGATGTTCTGCTGTAACAAAAGCAAAGTGAAAATCTTTTGCTTGTTCCAATGCTGTAATAAAGCTGCTTGGCCATAATTGATCTTACTTCAATTTCTTTTGCTTTACACACCTGCAAAGGTTGTAAATACAAGAATTGATGAAAAAGTTACTTTGCCATCACTGTCATAACTGTGAATGTTGCTAAATGAGACAGCTGCTAAAGAAGAACTATCCATAAAGGGGGAAAAGCACTTGTTTTGTGAGTGGGTCACCCCATCAAGATGGATGGATTTTGCATATTTGGTTTCCCCAGGCCAAAGTCTCTCCATTTTGCTAGGGCTGAGTTGAAGTTGGCTCTTCCCATTCAAACCTTTAGATTAGGGGTGTCAAACTCCCACCATCACATGACATATTGGGACTTCCCCCCCCTCACTAAACCACGTGGGGGCAGGGCCAGCACGAGACACATCTGGCCCACAGGCCATGAGTTTGACATCCCTGCTTTAGAGTCTCCAAACACTTCATCAGCACTGCAACGGCATCATCTGCCTGGCTACCAACCTGCCTTCAGTCGAGGACCTATATACTGCACGAGTCAAAAAGAGGGCTGTATTTACAGACCCCTCACATCCTGGACATAAACAGTTCCAACTCTTTCCCCCAAAGGGAAAGCTATAGAGCACTTCACACCAAAATAACTAGACACAAGAACAGTTTTTCCCCGAAAGCCATCACTCCGCTAAACAAATAATTCCCCCAACACTGTTCAACTATTACAAAGTCTGCACTACTATTACTGTTAATCTTCTCATCACTCCTTATCGCCCATCCCTTCCCACTTGTGACTGTATGACTGTAACTTTGTTGCTTGTATCCTTACAATTTATATTGACCGTTTCCTAGTATGATTTGATTGCTTATTGTACCCTATGACTATCATTAAATGTTGTACCTTATGATTCTTGATGAATGTATCTTTTCTTTTATGTATACTGAGAATATTTGCACCAAGACAAATTCCTTGTGTGTCTAACCATACTTGGCCAATAAAGAATTCTATTCTATTCTATTCTATTCTATTCTATTCTATTCTATTCTAT